AAAAATTTCCTTTTCGACCTATCCTTTTTCCTTACCACCTAAAACCCTATAACTACCGGTTTCGTAGGACAAAATGCTGTGACTAGGGATGTATAAGGGGGCTACAAAAGCTATCTTTGCCAAAGTATATTTAGACGTTGCTGCCCCTATAAAGTCACTAACTATGCTTCCTAATAAATGGACGTCCAAGTTACATTTTTGGATTCCCAACTTGCATCTGCATGGACAATTTCAACTTGCATATATATAGACAATTTAAGCAAACGGATGTTTCGTACTGTCGCAAATACACCCCATGCATGCAGACTCCGCCAATGAACGTTTTTAGTTGTACCATACTCTCTGCTTTCTACTGAAACTCTATGTGTAACCCAACGGCAATATATTTAGGAAGTTTTAAATGGTGCAACTTGCGCTAAAATTACCTGTAGTTCCTGAAAAAATAGCCACTTATTGTTCAACTGCCCGTTTAGATCGGCGACTTTGGAAAGCGCGGAGGAAATGTTGCTGAGGTCGTATTTGTCACACTGGTCCAGGGGCTGCTCTGGCAAAAAGGTCACGCAGGTATCAGATGCGGAGCGCTTCAGGCTGGTTGCCAGGCGGCTTCGTAGGTAGCTTTGGCCACCCTGGCAAGCTTCCTGGTTTAGATCAAGGAGCAGTCCAGAAACAGTGCCCTTTTGTCCCAGCTGCCGACTCCGCTGAATACTGAATATTTTTAGAGATGCTTTTCGCAACCACTCCAACAGTTCTTCACAGCCCTCAGCAAAAATTATGGCTAAAATATAGAATAATCAGAAAACCGGGGTTTTAGATATGCAATTTAAAAAGGATGATCGTGGATTTCGTTGATCTACTTAAAAAAATTATTCATCGCTGTAACGCTGAGCAGCTCACTTAAAATTAAAAAACCAGGCTCACTACAAAATGAGTCAGGAGGCACAAATATTATGCAAAGTGTTCCATGGAAGAATATTAAAAAGTATTATGTAGAAAAAACACTTTGGGAAACGACGGCTTGTTAGGTGAATTTTCGAAGCTGGAACCCCAGTTCGTCTTCAGACACAGAGAAAAGTGAAAGTGCCAAAATATTATGAGTTCCACACATTTAGCATGTAAATTCTTAAATGTGTCGTCATTTAAATATAATATTTTTATGTAACAAGATACGCAGAATCTTTAGAATAATTTAATCTAAAAAATACGAACGCATTTTTTATTTTTTGAAAGCTACCCCCATAAATGAGCCATAAAATGACATGCAAAATCGACGTGTTTAGAAAGATTTTTGGATCTATCTTGAAATTATGTTGTACAATGAGGAAACGCTTTGGTGCAAGATCGAAATATCTAGTATTGAAACTAAAATGAAATATTAGAACCATTTTCAGAATGTATGAAAACAAAAATGAAACGTAATCAATGCATTGACTAAAATAAGCAGGTTAAAAAATATTAAATTTAAATATTCCTTAGGTTACTGAAAGACAATACTTAAAAAATAGTCGCATTCTATACAGGTAATTTAAATGATGGCCTCTTTTCGAAAAAAACAGTTTCGCACGATCAATAAAATGGCATTGACATTAAACTTAACAATGTCCTAGCATAAACACCATGGCCTATTAGGGACCAAAATAGTACCGTCGTACATAATTCTTTTTTTTTAAATACTACTGTCTTAAAACTACGACACGTCTGTTTTGCCGACCTTATTCAGCTGCATGGAACAGTTGCGCGGGTTTCAGCTTGTCATTGTATCCCTAGTATTCCTGCTTCTGGCTTTAAATTTAAGGATTCCAGTTTTCATGTTGTACTGGTTGACTTCTCTCGAAAAAGAATGTGTGAGCTTGTCTTTATTCATATGGGACAATTAGCTTTACGTTCTGTCCAAAAATTGATAAGAGGTACCAAAAAGAAAGCCTCAAATGGACACTTCTGACTTGTTAGCCAGTATCTGCCAGCCAACTGAAACCTCAGGCTTTAAGTTATTTAGAGTTTACAGCGAGAGTTTCAATAATTGAAGTTAACGTTCTACACGCGATCCAGGGGCCGTTTTAGTTCACAATTGCCATCGAACATTTTGACGAAGGTGGAGTTTCCTTCTCGATTGGAGTGACGGAGAGCGCTCAACTCATCTTATCATGATTTTTTTGGAATTTATTCCCGTTGCTTAATGCCACAGTTTTTTCTGGCCTCTAGAATGAGCACCGAGACAAAATTGATTACTATGTCCTATAATTACATCGATCAACGCAATTCCTACAACGTTCAGATGCAAAATACCTCCACTACTGCGACAATCGCGTAATATAAAATACCACAAGCATCAAGCCCATGGAATGGAGATACCGTATGATCAACTATGCTGGCAGAACGACACTCCAAGCGATTTTTAATTTACCGACAGCGCTCCTCTTCAACAGCGTAGGCATAAAAGTTCGACTTCTTGATTTATCAGAATTAGCCACGTATGTGTCAACGATTTTCCTGCGCGCATACTTTATTGACGGAACACTCGGAGAGCTTTTTTGCTTGCCATCCCGAATGAGATAATACGCTGAGATATTAATTCAATAAAGGGAGTAATTTGAGGATAATAAATTAACGGCAGTCTCTACAGTAAATTTAACTTTACAGCTAAGTATTGGAGTTTAACGCGCCAATGGGCGGCTTTTAGTGGAAGACATTTGTCGGCGAGTATTTTATGCATGCCTTTTTGACTGGCAAAACTACTGATCTTCAGTTTATTTTATTTTCCTTCTAGTAAACCTACATAGTAACTAATTTTGATGGAGGCCTGGCTGTTTGCAGAGCCTAGTCTTGATGTTGTGTGTCTCAATAGCAGCAAGGTCAAAGGGGGGTATTCAAAGGAACCGAAATGCCCTCTAATTCTCAGGTTAAATGGAAAGATTCCAGCTTCTATTTTTGGGATACAATGATAATTTTGGCTGTCATTTGATGTATCAGAATGTGCTCATATTACTTATATTTACAAATACCTTCAGCATTTTCTGGTAGAACTATAAACAGCGTGTTCTTCTATTATTGGCTAACTGGACGGGATTTTTTCACCGTTAAGTTTCTTTTCCTTAAACAAATATACCTATATAACTGAGACAGCACATATCATGGCAAAATATCTAGGTGTTAAACTCATCCTTAAAGGCTACCCTTTGCCCATTCCAGTGTACCTTAAAAGTGCATATTTCAAAGTGCATCTAGGTTACTAATCTACTAGGTTATTAATCCGTGAACCTTCTCAACTTTTACTTATATAAATTGCTCATATAAGTAGAAACAAATGGCTAAATATTTCCTCAATCAACTTTAAGCTCAGATACTTTGAGAGTTAGAGTACTGGTAATGAGATCAGGCTAGACGGAAACATGCAATTTTTTATTGTTTTTAATGAAAGCGACTATCCGAAAGAGCAATATTTTCTAGGATTCTGCAATATAACTATCCGATATCTGATACAGAACCTAATATTGCCTTTCAAGTACGTAAGACAGTCGATTGACATTCGCTTTCTACTGTGGTAGAAATAAACATTTCACAGATGCTAGCATATTTTCCGCTCACCTTAATCGCTATAAAACATAAAGAGAACAACACAAAAAGCAATCGATAAGACTCAATGCATATAGTCTTCTTGGCAAAAGTACAACATTCTGTAAAACAGGAAGAGGAATAAAATCACAAAAGTGCTTAATCCTGAGACTAAACAGCATTTGTTTCAGTGCTTAACTGACCCGCTATCAAAGAGCTTACCTCTGTATATTTTGACGAGTTTGCTCCCCTGAGAGGACAGGGTTATCTTAAGATTTGCCCACAAAGCTGCATTTCGCTCCAGAGCTTGCGCCAACGACTCCGAGTTTTCCGGGTATTCTTTTATAACATCTTCGGCCTCCTATAATGCATAAAAGATGTCCGAACTTTCTTTTATGAAAGAAGGGAACAAATATCTGCCCGAAAATGTAGAACGTAATAGGCAACGTTGTTGCCAGTCTGTCAGTAAATTTAAAATGCCCTTCTGTAAGCAGAAGAAGGTGCGACAGCTGTAAAAAGATAAAGGTAGGTTGTGCACAGGAGTCTACCGTAAAATGTAATCATGCAGAGAACTCGATGAATGCTTGGAGTGCGCGCTGATTCGTTACGTCAGCAGTGACCATCTGGTCCTGCGGTGTTTACATTTATCGATTTTTCTGCACGTTTAAATTTTAAAGCAGCCTTCTGTGCCCAAACTACCTGTATCTGCTACTACGCTGTGATTAGGCCTCTGATGATGAATCCGCGGCGAATATCGAAACGTCAGGCAAATAAACATTTTTCCAGGGATCGAGTCGTCTTCTTTTTAATTACTTTCTGGGATTTGCATGTTTACTTGTATTGGCAGTTCCACGAACCTACATCGCAGTTGATAATAGTTGGATTAGGGCATCCGGACCTTCAGTCGATTTGAAGGCGTCTCTGACATCCAGCTTCCTCGACCTTCCAACCAGCATCTCCATTAAGCTGATACGTAGGGAATAACGTGATCTGGTCGGCTGCCCGTAGTCTGAACTTCTGCTGCCACGACTTGCCTTCAGTTATCAGACGGGCATTGCTATCTCCCAAGCAGAACCGCCATACTAGGTGGTTAAAGTTGGCTCCTATGAGGACTTACATGCTGAGTTGTGGGCCTCATAGCAAGTAAGCCATTAGTGCTTTCGTGAGACAAGGTTGCCTTGTTGTCAAGGGCTTGAAATGCAAATGTTTCGAAGAAAACGGAGTCAGGCTGACTCACAACACACGTTAGTCGGGTTGCCTAAAGTCTGCGTGATCCGACCTATTATAACCGGATCTGGTGATGTTGGGGGAAATGAAAATCAATCGCAGAAACTGGATGAATTTTTAGACGAAACTTGTCGAACATGCGGCCGAATTGTGCAGAAATGACGCCATTGTCGCAGTACATTCGACAAAACTCGGCCACACATTCAAGTTCGATGAGGCCGAACTTTTCACGGTAGAGGAAACTCGCATAAGCTGTGAGTTAATTAAGTCATGGTTTACGATACTGAGACTGTTTTACCAGAGCAAATAGTTGTTTTGGGACTGCGCAGACAGTCTTATTCTCCACCGCTAATGCCGGTGAGCAAGGTGGCAAAGCAGTCATCACGCCAAGCTCTATCACGATTGATGAAATTTAAGCGGGTCAGGACCCGCGCGCCGGCATGGATGCAGTTATGCATATTATGCCGTCAATGATAATGGGCTCCATCTGGAATCCGAAACTTCAGATGAAGTAATTTATCCCCCATCGATCCCGTCTACGTTCTCGGACTCGATTTTCGTGTTTATCGTTGTCTTAACCCTTTCTGTCCCGGGTACAATTTTAGGAGAGAAGAGAGAGTGGGATATGAGCTGCGAACGTATGTCTCGCTATAATAGAGTTTACAGGCAATTCAATGGTGTTGTTAGCACCCCGAGGAGCAGGCGGTGAACATTGTCCAAACGGCCAAACTGTCGTTAATGATTGCCCAGGCAATAATTGCATTAAACTCCTTGATTTCATGGAAATTATTGTCGTACGTTGACTACTGCGTTGGTGATTTATCAGGACATCCGAGAGGGCAAAGTTTCATTAGAGTTTTAGAGCTCAGAACAAAAAAATTTATCCGGTGCTCGACAAGTCTCATTCCTTATCCACAAAAAGTCAATGTAGGAGGTCACGCTGATCATCCAGTGGTTCGGCTATCCAAGCGGATGTGTTGATCCCGCCCCATCCTCCTCTTTCTACCGCCAGCCCTATCGCTGGCAAACCATTAACAGCGGATAAAACTAGCTTTAGAAAGTACCTCGCTAGACTGAGGCCTAGCTCACGAGCTTTTATGCAAAACAAAATCACAGCACTAGAAAAAAAAACAACCACACGCGTCATTGATGTATTATTCAGGGCAATGAAACTAGCTCAGTGATCGTTCTCTCTGCGTAGGCTCACATGCCTTCGAAGCCTATCTCTAGTTCGGTTTGAGCCTTGTATCAGCCCCTTTTCCACGTGGCCCG